AGTGGCGACTTAGCAATACAACTTTAGTACGCAGAGTAGCTGGGGAGCACTATGTCCAACTTCGGTTGTTGCCTTCCTCGCCATGCTGCCTTGTCTCACAAAAAAGGGGTCGGCGGCACCAGGGCGGAGCCCTTACAATAATCACACGGTCCATCTACACAAAGGTTGGTGGGTTCATAAGTTTCTGCTAATGAATGCAGATGAGGGGGACCGGGACAGCTGTTGAGAAAACATGTTCGAACGGGGCGGGGGGGTTTAACATAATAGAGAAAAGAATGTCGCAATACAAAATATACATGTTTCGTGACGTGTTCTTTTTGTTTCTGGAAACACCGTCTTAGGGATATGTATATGTATGCAAGGCAGCGGGTGGCTCAAGACCTGATTGTATGTATATACAGGGGGAAGCACTCACCTATGCACTGTATGAAAGGGGGCGGGGGACATCCATAATCATCATGTCATGAAACTTACAACTTCCAAGTCAAAAATATGTATAAAATCACATCCCTAGGAATGAAATCTGAAGACTGGGAAATGCCTATTGAGATATATTGAGAGGGAACGCACACCCCCCTTGAATATGCATTTACAGAATGTGTCCCGGTGATATAATATATCGTTGACCTGAAAGCATTCAAAAGCAAAACCCAGCCTTCGTGACAAAGCTCTGGCCAAAGCCTGGTATAATCTTGTATAATTCTTGCTGTCAATGAGAATCAGGCATACTTTATAGACATTGCATGTTGATTCACCCCTTCACAAACTCATGCTTACGATGACCGGGGAACATCCGAGGGTTGTTGGAATGCAAGATTCGGAGATGTCCACATCGGAGATGATGCCCTCACTGCTTGGCTTGAGCATTACCCACCCTTTGTGGGCCTTTTTTGAGGACTTCATCCGTTTCCAATGCTCCCTGCCTTCCCACCCTCCGCCGGGCAAGCCGTCCTTCCTTTGAAAATGAATAGAAAAGTCGATGTTGTACCTTTGGTGCCATATGCTTGTACACGCTCCAAGGGGATCCACTGAAAAAGGTACAAAGACGTACACAGGCCAATGGTCATCCAATGCCTTCCCTTCGCAACCAGTACCAGCCTCGAGTAGTCCGAGGTCGTCCCATCGGCGTCCTCATCCATGTAGAGCGCCTCCCCGCGGAACCCCCCGTGCACCGTCCGGGCCAGCCAAATCCGCGTGGAACCCGGCGGTGGAGATGCGAGGGTCGTGGGGATGCGAGGTGCCAACAAGTCCCCAGAGAGGTATCCAATGACCGTGAACTAAGGACCTCACTGGGGTACCCAACTGGGATAGTCGAACAGTCGGGTTCGAACCAACCTCCTTTGGTCCGTGGACGGCTGGGGTGGCTTGACAAGGCCCTATGACCGGATCATTGGGATTGGAAGATGCGCGCCCATTGATGAGTGCAAATGGATGAGGGTCGCAGGCGGTGGATTGCAGATGCACCAGGCTCATCGGAGAACCTCCGAACGCGCCCGGCGCGGATCTTGAGAACCATCACTATCAACGCTCCTTCAAGCCCCTAAATTGATGGTCTTTTTGCAGCTTCACGATCCACTGGAATTTTGGGGTGGCGGCGGTGGGAGTAACCACACAGGAGTGGATGCCGGCAGCCTCTGAAGACCATCAATTGGACTACCACTAACTTCATCACAGATCTCAGTGGGTTTCCAGCACAGACTCACTGACATGAGGGATGCTTGAGAAGAAGCCCCGATAAAAACCATTCCTGGTAAAAACCATTCCTGGTCGAAGGTCACCAGGACCCTGATGAAATCTCATTGGTTCGGTGGATGCTCATTTTGGAGATAGAACCATATATTTATAGTGTGTCTGCAGAACATTGGGTGTATAACAAAGCGATGTTTAGTCGCCTGCTGCACATTCTGGGGAATCCCAACCGTTCCCAAGACTTGTTCTGTCCATTTTCTGTCCCAGGTGCACTTGCAAACGCCTCCAAAACTCAAAAGCCTCAGGTCTTCGTCCCGACCCCCCAGCGACCACTCCGCGCAACCTCCTGGGGCTGTCTAGGCCCCGAAAAGGGGGTGTCATCGGGGTGTCAAGGGGGTGTCATAACAGGGGGCCCTGGTATAGGTCTAAGGTCTTGTTGTTTTCACCACACCGTCCACGTCTGAGAGACCTCCACGTCTCTTGACCCGACCGCGCCTCCTCAGGTCCCTCGCTCTTCCCTTCGGTGACTTCCGTGGTCTGAGACTTCAGCTCCTGCGGAACCCCGCCAGCGACCGCCAGACCGAACCGCGGCACACCGAACCAGACCCGCCGAGACCGAACCGTAACAGGCACCCGGTGTTCACCACGGAATAGGGGTCGGTCTGACAGATCCTCGTCACCCGGTTCCATGGCATTCCCTCACATGGGGGCTCATGGCACCGAACGAGCCCAACCTGTCCACCGGCCGGACCGAGAACGACAACACGGGGCGATCATCCGAAAGCACCACAGCGCACCAATCACATCGGAGTTGATATCAGATATATATTAGGTATCATGCATCATATATCATACTTACATATATTTTTCGACTCTACGAAAGTCTCATCCGCACAACACACTCATTTTTATACCTCATTGGGGACGCGTACGGTGCAGCATTGCTGCCTGTTCAAGTGGTATGGAAAACTGAACTGTATTGACACACTTATCTGTACAACATGTTCTCGGACCTGGACTTACCATCACTACTTCACACTACCCGCATTTTGCCCCCCTGTAGAATAATATATGTAATCCCCCTAAGCCTGCAACGACAACCATTGCTCTGGCGCCACCCACTACGGCTGCCCCCACTCCAACCCTGGACTGTCCGGGGCTAGGGTGAGGAGGGTGGGTGCTCAAAAATGATGAGTGCGGGGGGACCCAATCTTGTAGCCAAAATGGCACGACAGATTCGACCGTCCATCAACTAGTTGATTACCTGTTTCTAGGTTGTCAAAATACATCATCACTACGTGACAGATTGCTTTCGACTCTACCAAAGTCTCATCCGCACAAGACATTCATTTTTATACCCCATTGGGGACGTGTACGGCGCAGCATTGCTGCCTGTTCAAATGGTATGGAAAACTGAACTGTATTGACACACTTATCTGTACAACATGTTCTCGGACCTGGACTTACCATCACTACTTCAGACTACCCGCATTTTGCCCCATTCATTGTAGTCGACTTCGGCTGTCACTTTCACACGTTAGACCATCTCGTCGAGGATATCCCACCTTAGCCTTGACGGTGCGTCTGCTATGTTGCTCGGAGAGGGAGTTCTGGTGTACCAGTTGAGGCTGTTGTTGTTAGCGTCTTGGATCATTGCTTCCACTAACATCTTCCGACATGCTTCTGACTTGGTCACACCTGCTACCAGTGCTTCTTTGACCCCTTCATCGTCAATGAAGAACAGACCCCTTGCCCCCCTCAGCAACTGTGCAAACTGTCGCTTGATCACCACGATGGGCATCACCTCTGCCTGGGCGATGACGTGTTCGTGCCCGAAACCATGCCACTCACTCACTACCTCTTCAGGAACCACGAGCCCAAATGCTATTGGCTTTGCAAGGCGAGGGGAGAAAACCACGGCACCACACGATGCTATTCCACTTTCATAGGCTCCATCCGTGAACACAAGGCATGGCGGCTCGTGGTTCAAAGCCTCTAACCTCCTGGGCGGCGCTGTCCCCAGAAGGTTCGCCGACAGGCGGAGTGCTTGTCTGATCTCCTTGGTGACTCCCTTGACTCCCTTACCCATGAGAGCCCTTTGCTTCACAGGCCCCATCAACGGAGCCATCCATCGCCCGCTGCACTGCGCCTCAGCAAAGTTGAGCCTTCCGTACACCTTAGCTGCTGTGGCTGGTGGGAACTCATGCAATGCCTCCATGTGGCCTCTAGCTCCTCTACTCTGTCTTCTTTGTTACGCACCACAACTACCTTGTCATGGGACTGGGCGAGGTCCACAACGACTCCAAGCACTACAAACTTCCTGGCAGGCGGTGTCCTTCTTGGCCCCATGACTCTGAAGGCCTCCTCCATGACCACTTGCGACCTCACTACCATACCATCAAGGTCAACATGGGGGAAATCATCGAAATAGTTGATGGCGGGTAGCATGAGGAATCGTTGCATGATCTCCCTCAGTGCCCTTGCAGCTCTGTTGAAAGCCATCACCGAACCCGTAGCCCCAAACAGCAACACATACGATATGAAGTACCTCACTTCACCATCTCGAGGTTCTAGGACGGCCACTACGGCGCAACTCCTGTCTGCTGGTAAGCACCTGCCACTGAGCTTCAACTCGGAATCTCTGTTCTAGGACCAACCCTGTGGACAGTTCAGCCCTGACTGCACTCGACGAGCTTCCGAAGACCCTCATCCATGCTGCAGCCAACGAGACTACCTCGTCGACCCCTCCCAGGTCCAGTTTCTCTCCCCGGCCATAGGGTTGACGGCGAACTCGCTCGGGTCATCGATGTGCCTGACTTTCGAACCTTGCACGATGCCAAACCTCCTACTTGGGGTCCACAACGGCCCTACCACCTCTGTCACTTGATCTGCTTGCAGGGGACCCATCAACCAACCCTCCTCAACTTCCTTCATGGTCGCGTCCCAAACCTCTTGGGCCACGTCAAGCTCCTCGCCCCCCAATGCTCACCTTCCTACCAGCCATGTGTCTCGGCACTCGAGCTGCTACTTCCTGCTGGGCTGATTTCGCCCCCCGCCACAAGTCCTCTTTGTCCAGCAGGGGTGGCTTGCACTCCTGGGCGAAGCAACCGGTCACGCGGCCCACCAGTGATTTGCATGCCCTTGATCATGTCTCCTACTAGGTCGACTCTATTCTTACACTTCTTATGCGCTCGAACACGCCGGCGGTGTTTGATCTCATGCTGCTGACGGGCCGCCCCAGTACGCCACGTAGCATGAGATGTCGGACTCATTGAGGGCTCCAGTTTTCAATGGGGCCCCCCGCGCCGTCTCCCCCTCCATGGGGGTCCTCACCATCCAGATCCATTGCTCAAAAATGATGAGTGCGGGGGGACCCAATCTTGTAGCCAAAATGGCACGACAGATTCGACCGTCCATCAACTAGTTGATTACCTGTTTCTAGGTTGTCAAAATACATCATCACTACGTGACAGATTGCATATATATATATATTGTGTGTTTATTACAGTATGTGCATGTATTCATATCATGCCGAAATCACTTACAACATCTTACAACCCCACACCGACCAAACGTCGCCGCTCGGCGTCAGTGGGATCGCCGGGCGCGCGACCGGGAGAGAAGCGCGGTGAATCGAAGCTGAAGCTGAAGCTGAAGCTGGAGTCCACGGCCCAGGGGCCCAGGGCACAGCACTTCTTGAGCTTCAGCTTTCCAGGATCTTCCAAGGTTTTGGGACACCCATGAAAACCTTTAAGAGGCTAGCGGCAATTTATAGAGACCTCTTGGAAGGTCCTGGTTGAATTCGCTGTGTTTCCAATGGTCACAGGCTTTGTGGAAACGCCAGCTCGGACCCAAAGGCCTCGGCCGAGCTCCGGGGGTCCCAGTGACCTTCCAAGCAGGTCAATTGACCTTCCAAGCGTCAAGCTTCACCCTTCCGGATCTCGGCACTTGTTCATTGGTTCCAAACAGACTTCTTTACGACTGCCAAACAACTGCTTCAAAATCAGGTTGCCAGGCAGCGACAGCTGGCTTCTTCTGTGGCCTTCTGACCAGCTCGTGACCCGTTTCGATCAATCCCCCCTATATAGCGCCATCGCGTGGGAACTCGTCGGCTTGTCACGAAGCATGACACGAAGAAGCAACGACGAGTGAAACGGCTTGCCACTCGTCAGGAGCTAGTCAGGAGATGCAATGATCCTATATGAGGGGGGACCCATATAGGCATCCACTGCCTTGCGGGGGTGGCTCCCTGGAGATCCTCCAGGGGTTCCATCCGAGATCGGTGGCACAGCTCTGCATCAGGACACCAGAAAGCCTTGAAAGACTTCGAAAAACAAAAATGTGTTTAAAGAGTACATAAGAATCCTGGAAGCCGACCCTGGGGAATGTCCATGTCCAACCGACTTGGAGCTTTCGCGACATCACTAGGATTGACTTGAACAGAAAATAGAAGAAACAATTTCTGCATTGAACGGAGTGGCTTGGAGATCTTCGTACAAGCAACCCAGGTGTTTACGGTGCCTTATCTTCTGACACAGGTGCTCAAAACAGAGAGAAAGAACATGAAAGAACTATATGGCACCTGATCCATGTCGTCTCTAGTTTCTCCATTCAACCGACTTTCTCTGCTCTCTCGCATCTCTGCTCTCGCAGTCAATGGACACCAAGCTCTGAAAACAGGGCACACCATTAATCCTTCCCAAAACGCTCACCACCCTCCACCGTCTCCACCATCTCCGCTCGTCGCTCGCACGCTCCTCCGTGAGCTCGGAGGTCCTCGAGCTGCGCGAGAAGCGGCTCAGGCGGCTCTGGCTGCTCAGCCGCAGGTTGCGCTGCTCAAGGTCCCGCCCCGACAGCGTCTCGCGCGCCGCGAGGCCCAAGGAGGCCAGCGACTCGCGCTGCGCCGAGGCGAAGGCCAAGGGCGGCAGCAAAGGCAAGTCGACCACCTGAGCCACCGTGCTGGACCGGGTTCCGGCGACATCGGACGGTCTGGGCTGGCGGTCCCTGGCGAAGATCGGCCATCTTGCATCATCTTTCAAAGAGGTCGGCCTGGAGAAGTCCTTGGACATCTCCCATTCGCTTGGGACCTTGTTAGCAGGGGTCTCCTAGCAGGAAAGACTCGGGGTGACTCGGTCCGAGGCGCCCTTCCATGGACCACCCGGTTCCAGGTGGTTTTCCACGTATGGACCTGAAGAAGAAAGCCCCGACCCAAGGCAGAGACCCACACAAGACACTCTCCGGGGCAAAGACCCATCGCCGGTGTTTTCGGGTGACCAAGGTGTTTCTTTCGGTTGGTGTTTCCTTTCGTTGGCTGCTGCCCAAGGTGTTTCCGCCGTCATTGCCCCTTGAAATATAGGTCGATTTTTCCTGGGTGCCAAATCTCTGCAATGAAACCATCATCCTCGGTGTGCTTTGGTTGTTATCTCTTGTCTCGTCTTGGATGTGTTGGTTGAGCAAAAACTCTAGCAGCCATGCCAACGGCATGCGCGCCACTCCCACAACAAGGGGCAGCCAAACAATTCGTCAAGACAGTTGCAGCACCTTCCTGCTGTTCCGTGCAGGAATCGTTTTCCCTTGCAAAGTGCGAGTATGGTGACCCAGCCTCGTCCCCGATGCTTGAAACATCCAGGGCCCATCACCAACCCTGATGCTTGCTCCATGCAATAAACATGAGAATATTGAGAAAAGCATGGAGAAAAAAGAATGGTTTTAAGCATGGGAAAAACATTGCATCAGAAAATGATGCATCATTGAGAAAAACATGATGCAATGGCCATGTTAAATGCATTGAGAATTTTTAATGCATCATTGAGAATGAAACCTTATTGCATGAGAATAAACATGATGCAATGGCCATTGAAAAATATTGAGAAAAAAGCTGCCCTTAATGATGACCCCATCCTCCGTTCGAACCTTTCATTCTTTATGACAACCTAGGTTGCTTAATTGGAGGTTTCCATTTAATAAATGGGGGTGCCCCAAGAGGATGGTTTATGATCAAACAACCCATTAGGATGATTTGGGGGTTCCATTGATGGAAACCCGTTTTGGCTCAATTCCCAGGAGGATCACCATCTCCTCCGCAGCTTCTCCTCCCCATCTCCCCTCCCTTCGACCGAAGCTGCGGTGCACTGCCGCGCGCGGTGCCGGAAGGCACTTTGGAGTTGGGCGACGGGCCAGCCCGGCAGCAAGGCCAAACCAAAGTTCTCCTTGAGGCCTCACGGACGTGACATTAAGACGTGGAAAAAAGAATCGGGAAAAAGTAGTGTTTACATGTTGTGTTTAAAGCATACTGTTGGTGAAAAAAAAAGTGGCACGAACACATGTGGTGTTTTTGTTCCCACATGCATTGAAACACACATGTTTTATACTTTATTATACAAGGTGCAAGTATAATGGATGGTTATCGGAGTGATCGCCTTCAATTCTCGTTCGGGTGAATCACTTCATGTGCTGCGTATGTTCCCTCCAACATCGTTAGCGACCGGCGAGACGAGACGGCTTGTCTTTCGACGAACACAGGAACCACTCGATTTCGCCAAGTGCCCTATAGGGCCCTCCAAAAAGGCTCCAGTGGGGAGGAAGCACCAATTTTAGAGCTAGAAGCTCTCCGCTGTCGTTTGGGCTCCAGTGATTGACCAAGAAAAAAAAAACGGAGAAAGACCCTGCGGTTCCCACCGCTCATTACCCGCGGGTACCCGCGAGTACCAGGGAGATCCAATGAGGTCGCCCTCCTTTTCACCTGAGCACTGCCCAGGACCTGGCAGGCCTAGCACAGGACCTGTACCGAATATTCTGATAGTTTTGGTGGGCAGGTCCCCCTCGTCTTCCGTAGTATACGTCTTGAAACATCTTTTGAAGTATTCATATGTAGTCATGGATGGCATGGTCCCTTGAGTGAGAAGTGTCCTTCACCAAGGGAGGTGGGCGAGTTCTCCACTGAAGCATGATGAGTGGACGTCGGAGGTTTTACGCTCTCTCCGACTGGACATCAAACCTTGAGAATTGACTCCTGGCTTCGACCACATGTTTTTGGCCCGTTCAACCCATCAACCCTGGTGTTTGGGGTTCCATGGTTCATCTGGAGGGTAAGACGCACACCGAACGGAGAACCATGAACGCCCCCCAAGATGAATCAAGCCCAGCTCGAGCCCACCTGGGCATCCCATCCACAAACCCCCCCATATTGAAGCCCCATGAAGCCCCAGACAAACATATCGTTCCCCTATTATAATTCATTATGACTTACAGTATTTTCTTATCATCCATCATCAGGTCCAGGTCCTCATCTCATCATCCTTCATCAGGTCATCACCTTTATTAGGGGGATGTGGTCCCCCAATACCTCCAATCTCAGACCTTGTTGACTCGTTGACCTTGTTGACCTCGAAGGAGGGGCCCGTTGATTAATCCGACCTCTGCATTATATCATAATTATATCAATTGGATTCAATATTGGATATCATAGAATTGGATCATCATTCTTGATGAATGTTCCGAACCCTTTGGATTGGGCACCCCTCTTCATAACGGGGCACCCCTCATCGTTCGAGCTGTCATCTCGAGTGCAGCACGGTTTTCGTCTCCGTCTCCGGTCCCACGCCTAGGGCGTCGGCCCCAGGGGCACGGAGTCCTGCCGAACCGGGGCGCGAGAGACCACGGCTGACCGTTCCGTGCTGAGAGACCACGTGCCGTGCGGTGCCATTGGCCCTGGAAGAAGGGGCCCTGGGAAGAAAAAAACCCTCTGGCATGGGGAAAACCCGAACGTAGTCCTTGGTCCACGAATGAGACAAGGTCCTGGAGGCCATCTGTGACCTTCTGTGGCATAAGACATAGAGCCATAGAGCGTTGTAGACTAGTTGCGATAAACCTGAGAGGATGCCTAAGATCCGTGGACTCCGACTCCCAACTCACTGAATGAGTCTTCGCTGCCCTGTGCTAAAAATCTCCGAGATGATTGGTTGTCGTCGCCTTCCCTTTTGTCTCCATTTGGCCGTGGCACAAAACTTGACCACGAAAAATGAACAGAATAGAATAGAATAGACTACTTGAAAGGTCGGGTTTGGACCTCCAGGTCTTGACCCACTGACATTTATATAAGACAGGTCCAAGTCTTTGTAGACTGAGCGTCGCTGGCCCCGCCAAGGTGGTCTTTGGAGTTCGCGCAAAGACTCCGCGCCTCGTGCCACCTGCCCAAGCTCATCCATATCCTCCACCTGTCGTTGCTTGGCAAGGCACACGTGGCAGCTGCTCAAGGCTTGGGCAGCTGAGAGGTCAGGCACAGGTGTTAAAAAACACACCAGCAGGATGACCATGCGTATGGCTTGTTGAGCCCAAATCCTCGGTACACCCGAGGTCCGAACTGCAGGGACTATGCCACCTTAAACCCCTCTCATCCACTCTCCTCCGAGCTGAGCCGAGATGACCCTCCGTCCGTCCACCACCACCTGTCCCGCGGGTCGAGACGTCCTCTGGAAGTCTTGATTCATCAGAACTGAGATGCTCTGAGGAGTGGAATCCACAATTCACAACTTCGAGGTGCAATGGAATGGTTGATGCCCCACCGGGTACCTGTTAGGACGTCACGAGGGGCCGACGGTGGGAAGCGCTGCTTCGCACTGCTATGCGCTGCTGAGACCGCAAGTCGTGTTACCTGTTTCCACGTGTTTTTGTTCGTTGAGCAGAACACGGACCCCAAATGCCCAATACCAGAGCTCAGGCAGGTGATCCCCGTGGCAGTTGTCGGTGAAGGTGTCGCAAGGTTTCGCAAATGCTTTGGCAGTAGGATCATCACTGTAGGAGACAGCCTGTTTGCACACGAACTCCATACGAACTCTGGACTTGTTGATTTGATGTTGATAATCTTGGCCACTGGTGAGGATCGTTGGTTCTGTCCACCAGTGTCAGACGGCGATGCGTTTTTTCGGCTCAAAAATCGTCTGAACCGGTGAGGTTCCAGCACCACTGCGAAGAAAGGTTCTGACCACTGAGATGGTGCACTCTGACTCACTAACATGGACATGGAAGCCATGGGGCCATGTGGCATGCGATGAACATTAAAATGGTCCCTCGGATGACGACTTTCCTTGACGAACAGAGCTTTTCCACTTCCATGTTAGTGGGTCAGGAAGTACAAGCTTCGTTGGTCGAGTGGAATCTGTGAAACCTGTGGAACCTGAACATCTCAGTGGCCAAGCATTTGCTCTGATCACATGGCTATCGTGTTTTTTCGTAGCTTGAGTTCAGACGCCCAAGTCGAAGAATCCCAGGAAGGCAGCTTCTCCCAAATTCCACACCACCCGCCGACCCCACGGACCCCCATTCCAGCACGGCCACCGCCGCCACGGACCGGTCCCACCGACGGCCTCTCTGGAGACGTTCTCCGCCGCGGCGGCCTTTCGGAGCTCCTGGCGGCGCACGGCGTTTTAGCTAAGGCGACCCGAGGTGGAACGGAACGGGCCCTGGACTCCCCACGGCTATAGAAGATACCTTGAACAACCTCAAGCACTTGAAGCTGCACATCTTCATGCGTGTTGGATGGCATTGACTTCTGGGAGCCCCATGCAGGTGCCGCTTCGTTCCTTGTCCCTTCCCTTCTCTTGGCGTCTCCTCGGTCCCTCCCGTGTCCCACCGACGTCACGTGTCGACCGTGGCGCTCCTTAAAGACCTCATTGGAGCGCTTCACCTCCGGCGGGGCGGGGCTCCGGTCGTTGGGCGCACCGCGGGTCGAACACGAAACGGGTCGGGTCCAAGGTCCAGGCAGAGCCCGCTGGTTGCGGTGTGCATGGGCGTCTGGGGGTGGGCGTGGCGATTGGAAAAGGGTCCCGGCGTTGAGGTTCAGAGGGCGGGGGTGTCCAAGCTCTTCCGCACCCCCAAACAGAAGGGCTCTTTCTGTGGGAGTGGAAGTGGTGACATTTACCATCGTCTGGTGATTGGAAGGAAAAGACCAAAAGAAAAACAGGCTATAAACCACCCAAACTCTATGGTGTTGATGTCAGTGTATATTGCAGGACCCGGTGGTTTTTTTGGACACCCCGAATCACCTCTGATTCGAGGCGATTGAGAGACACCTCCAGTGAAGGTCCTGGTCAAATGGCTCGGGCTTCATCACGACGAGGAGCTCCAAAGTTTTCCCCACCTCTTCCAGGAACCGCTTTTGAGGCGCCCGTTCCGACCAGGCCATACAAACCATACCCCCTCCCATTCCGCCCCCCAACATCACGTTGAGCATATATTAAGCGTCTGGGCCGCCCTGGGCCGCCACCCGCACACGCCCTTCACAGGTCGCTGGGCCGCCCGCGCCGTGTCTCGCACCGCATCCTTCGCCACCTGCTTGGCGCCGGCCACGAAGTCCTCGGCCTTCGCAATCCTCGGTTGGGGTCGGGGTCGGCGGGTCGGGGTCGACGGTCGGGGTCGGACGACTGGGCGCCCCCCATGACTGGCTGCTGTTTTGAGGGTCAGGACCCTCCAAGAGGTGTCTGCAATATTCTGTAATGTAGCCTCTTAGAGGAGTCTGCTTGGTTATATGACCTGAAAACCAGGACCCCTCCAAGTTCGGTGGTTTCTGGACACCCCGAGTCATCACCTCCAAAAGGTTATTTATAAGCACCTCTTCTTGGAGGGTCCTGATATTATATACCAGCACCTTCCAACAGGTCTGGAGGGTTGGGAAGGGCCCTAACAGGTTTCAATTGGTGACCTGTTGGAGGTGCTGGATGGTGCTGGTATGAGGTTATTGTATAGCCAAACTGTCCACCATGTTCCACCTGTTCGTGTTGAGTGGGGTGGTCCCCAATCCCCAACGCTGGGCCGGAGCTCGCTGTGCGTGGTAACCTCTCGACCGTCCTGCTGGATTCGTGGGCGTTCCACGAGGATTCGAATGGGCAGATTGGGATTGCAGGACGGTGACATCTTGGACGATTAACCATCAGGGTTCATCCAACCATCATCCAACCATCAGTTGGTAGGATGGTCACGGTGACATCCAACCATCAGGGTTCATGAAATCTGACCAAAGACCTCGACGAAAACACCATCAGCACCCTCCTGCCTCCTGGCCAGCCTGTCTTGGGAGCCTGTCTTCAAACCCTAACAGGCGTTCCCACCAGGCACCGGTTGCCACCAGGAAACACATAAGTTTTCCCTTTTGGATCTCAGCTGCCTGAGCAAATGTCCCAGTTGTCCCAGAAAAAAAACTAAAGGAAAATCATCCACTGACCGGACACCTCCCTCCTCCAAACGCACCGAGTCCACGAGCCTTTCGCCCGCTCCCGGCCGACCAAACCCTTCGTGCCCAAGCCACACTGGCAGCATCGAGCGCACCGGGTTCTTCCGCTCCTTGGGCACGGCCGAGTCCGCGAGCAGGGCCGTCCTGGCGCTGGCCGGCGGATGTCGGCGAGGCAGGTGCACGTCTTTGGACTATGTTTCAGAGGTAAAAGGACTTGGTACAAGGGACGTCTTTTTGTGAACGCGCGAGGAGACTGGAGGCATTGTCTTTTGCGCAAGTAGAGTGGCTGCTCGCACCAACCCCACTTGATGCGATGTTCACGAAATGTTCACCAGCTCTCCTGCTCCTCTGGATGCGCTGCTGCCTCTTTCCCAAAGATCGAGACCTGAAAGCTCTGCGGAGAAACTGGGCGTACAAATGTCTTGGTAGATCTTGGTAGCAACATTCCTGACGTCATGAGTGGAATAGATCACTCTTCATTGACAGCTTCGATGATGCAGCCAGTTTTGTATAGAGTCGTTGTTTCCCGTCTCAGGATCCGCTCCAAAAAAGCGGGAGAAAACACACCAGTCCCTGTTACTCCTACATAGGCACCTCTCCGATAGGCACCTCTCCGATCCAACACGGGCATAGACCCCCCCAGCACCATCCAACTGGGGCCATGATGGGGCCCGCAAGTGCGAAACTTGGGATTTAGGGACTATCCACCTTAGTGAGGTCTTGGCAGGAGAGTTAAACTCACTTAGATAGGGACTACCTTAGCTCAGTTAACGTATCGCTGACTGTATCACCGTAGTGCAGTTTTTGCCCAAACGTCTCCAGAGCATCACTCACGCGTCTCTTGCCAAGCTTTCCAGCCTGACACCAGAATGAACACTTTCACCTCCCAACCTCCCCCTGCATCCCACCTTCCTCCATCCAGCCGGGCCCCCGCACGCGCGCTTGGCCACGTGATTGGCCCGGCGCTTGGCCACCTCCACCGCGATGCCATGGCCCATAGGGTCCTCGCTGCCCAAGCGGGCGATCATCCGGCTGTGCCTGGCGGGGTCCGATGCCGAGGACCCACCACGCGGGAAAACAGGGAGACTGGGGGGACGAGACAGGACAGGACCCAGGGTCGGATGTCGAACAGAGCCTTAAAAACGAAAGAATGCTTGCAGAAGACGTAGGAGATCACAAAGAACATGAATCATATTACCATGTTTTCTGACCATGCTTGCTGGTCAAAGGCAGCTGCATACCCTCAGTTCAATCCGGAGCCTTGCGACATGAAGGAGTTGCACCAATCAAAGGAGTTGCACCAATCAGAGGCCTGTGTTCTTGGCACATGGCTATTTCCTTGGAAGAATTGCAGAGGAAAAAAGATGCAAAACACCCTTGTCATGGCAACAGGGCCTGAAGAATTGCCCATGTCGACCTTCGCAGTGACCGAACTCGGGAGTCCCCAGTCGTGACCTTTAAACCCCTTAGTCGTGACCTCCAAAAATTCTCAAGTTCGGGCACCGGGAACTGTCCGTTTCCACCCATTCGTGTTGGTGGTTCGGCTCCGCCGTTCGGCTCCACCGGCTCCGTACCACGTTCGACCGGACCCGCCGATCGCGCGAGCGGAGCTCCGCTCGATCGCCTCCGCTCCGACTTCTGCGGCACGGCTAGGACCACCTGGGGCCGCGCGGCGGAGCGAAGAACCGCGCTGGAAGTGGAGCTCTCCATGGAGAGGAACGACTCTTTCTGGAACTCACATGGTTACGTGGAAAACACCCTGTTTGGTCTTCGGATTTCATGGTCTTCCAAGAGGCCATGCCATCCACGTTCATGTTAGTTACCAGGGAGTGTAGTGTGTTCTTATAGGCCAAAAAAGGCCGGGATGGGATGGAAATGCATCACCTGCACAGCCGTTTTTGGCCCGTGGGGTTTGAGAAAAGAGATGAACAAGCGTGGTGTCCCTCGATGTTCGACGCGTGCATGCTCAAAACCAAACAAAACACATGGTGACGAAAGGGTAGAAGCACATGCTGTTTTCAGGGTCCATAGTCCTTCGCATCACTCCGTGGAACTCAAATGGAAGGGGATGCCATGGGCCCCTGGAAGACCATGAAATCCGAAGACCAAACAGGATGTCTTCCAGGCAAGCATGTGAGAATCCCAGAAAGAGTAGTTCCCCTGCATGTTCTCGATGTACCTCCCCTCCCCCGGAGAAACGGCAAGTGGACAACAGGTCAAAGTCTGTTGATCAATGTTAATCATAAATTTGGAACGTAGTCCTCCAAGTTGCCAAACCCACTTCCATGTTGGGCGCACGGGGGATGTCATCAGTCAACCACCGGTTTGTTGAAAACCCGACACATCCCTCGTCAGTAGGTCCCAACCAGACGATGAACAAGTCCAAGTCCTCAACTGCAGCTGGAAGTTCCCCTTTCTAGGTCACCCCGGCTGAAAAGCCCAACGCATTGCGCAGGCTCTGTACACCTGAAACCGCATGGACATGGACATGGACCATGTTGCAAGCATGTTGCAAGCCCAAAAAGAAATACAACAACACACCACGGTGACACACTGGCAACAGTGCTACAGCACTGAAAACCGCAGTGAAGAACATCAACACCTGGAATCCAGCAACAGATTGCCAGACATCATGCAGGGCCCAACCTCGTTGCTTTCCCGTCCTCTCGCGCGCAATCTCCAACCTGGCGCCGTGAACGACGGCGCGACCGGACAGATCTTGAGACCCGGATCTAGCTTGGAAAAGAGGTTCGCTCCCTTTCAGAAAGGGCTTCACTCAGAGGACAGTGAGCACGCATCCACCCGCTTCGCACAACCGCTTCGTTGGGACCCAAGTCTTGGGACCGTTGGTCGGGTGGGCCGCCGACTTCTGCCCGATGTGGGCGTGAACCCAACTGGAGACGTGGGCGTTGGCCGTGTTGGCCGTGTTGAGTCCCCGGGCTGGTCTTCCTCCATCTGCAGGGAAAAGCCACCTGGGAGGCAGACAGGTCGACGCTTCGACGCTGATGGAGCTGCCATCGAAGCTTCGGACTTCTCGTCTTAGCTTCACCTGTTAACCCTTAACCCTTTGTCCACCTGGATTAGAGTGGGAAAACAGCCGGATCTGCATCGCATGTGACATGACAACCTTCTGCCCATGAAGAAACCCAGCTTCCAGGAAAGGTCCCCTTGTCCTCCACCCCAGGCGCCCTTTCCCTTTTCAGCGGCGCTGGGTCTCCGCCACCGCGACGCTTGTAGAACCGCGCGGCTTCAAAGCAACTGCGGCCGGCACAGGGGGTCTCAACTGGTCAGTCGAGTGGGAGAGGTCACGCTTGGGAAGTCCCTCATTTTACGGATCGAACAAGCTGATTCCAAGAGACCGCGCTGCTTGGATTGCTTCAAAACCCCTCAACATCCAGTATCAGTATTTGGATCAAGAAATCAAAGCTTGCCAGGGCCATAGCTGTTGAAGCGGTACTTCATTGGAGCCGGTCCCCCTCGTGGTCTTTCGAAAAAAGGAGGCCCCCCCTGTACATACTCCGTGGAGGATGATCAAGAATCATCAAAAATCATCCCTCCAGGACTTTCAAAGGCATGTGTTTTAGTTCCTAAATGAGTCGATAGTGGGGGCCCCTATCCTGCAATAGGCACCCCTTTCTACTCCTCCCTGAGGTTTCATAAAGCGTCACCATGTCCCTTGGATGTCCACCGTCCGGTCACCACCATGGGCACATGATCCGGCACCACCGGCTACATCAAGCTGCCAGACTTGGGGTGGCTGCCCTAACATACCAGCTCCCCCCCGGGTTTGGGGTCAAATAGACACGAAAAGATGTCCATTAACTACCCAACTCCCGTGGGTCCTGGTCTGTCCTGGTGCAGTTCCACTGTCCTTCTGCGGTCGAGTATTCTTCTGCAGGACTATGGCTGTGGGGTCAATGGATGTCGATGGCTGTGTTGCAGACTTTTCGGGAATCAGGCCAGTCTCGGCAAGAGTCATGAGCTTGGAAGTCTGCCAATGATCGCCAGTCACATCTCAGGAGTGTCACAGCTTGAATCTTCGCCAAAAAAAATAAACGTCACGACCTATCGTCCTCTCTGCCCTGTCTGTTCGCTGTTTCACGTGTGCGCCCACGACGTTGGCACGACGCTCGGTCGCCCGAACTCGACGTCGGACCCCGCCTGTAGAGCCGGGCGACGACGGCCGCGGTGACCTCGCTCGCGTGGAGGTTCACCCAGGTGATCGAGATCTGAGGGCAGAAGGCCTCCACGCGTGCAGTCCACGGTCGCACGGTCGTCCACGCGTAGCGGACGGACGCACGCGTGCGCAGAAGCGTCCGCGTTTTTTTCCAGGGAGAGAAGGGATGAGCGCGTCGCGTTTCGCAGGGTTCTCCCTGCAGGATGTCTTTGGGCGCATGTTTTGGCGTAAGTATTAACGCATAGATGCAGGATGTAAATCCAAGTTAACCTGATGCACCTGGAGGAGACCTGCAGTTGTGGTCATTCCAACGAAGGAGACCTCAGGAAGTCGATTCTGTCTGATCGGTTTTGGTGTCGAGGCAGACTGACCGGCAGGGCATGATCAGGAAGACTGGACCATGCGGCCAATCCATTTGGCCCGGCCTTGTGTCGAAAAACATCCATTTTGGAGGTTGATTCTTGGATTTTTTGGAAATCTGTGACAGTTTCCGTGGCGAAAGAAAGAAAAAGAAACATATAATCCTCCTCTCAACCTCACACACCCCATGTCAAAAAAGCATGAACAGTGGCCCTCGAAAGGACGACCTTCCACATACCACCCAGTACCAAGCCGTCGGCTGCCCACTCGATTCTCTCCGACGGTGCCGAGGGTTCTCCCCCCGCCTGCAACAGCTCCCGCTTGTTCCAGACCTTGCCATCGAACTCGACGGCGGAACCGCCGTCGTCCAGCTGACCGTCAGGGCTCGTCGTGACTCAGAGCTCCAGAAGCGAGAGCTCAAACGGGTCGGTCCGAAGAGGATGAGGCGCATCCGGCCAAGACATTCAAAGACATCGATTCTTCGTCTTTCTGGAGGGTTTGTAACTGACAGTGCGACCCATGTTCAAACGAAGCTATCAGCTTGTACCGAAAACTCATGTGCTGACGGGTTTGAAGGATCCTCAAACGAGTAGGGAATCACCCACAAATGTTCAACATTAGGCTTTTTGTGGGTCTTGATCTTCGGACTGAAACTCCTGAAAGAAAAAAGAAGCAGCGCACGGTGACCAGCCGCCCTGCCTTCCGCTTCGTTCTCAAGGCCTGCAAACCGAAATCCGCCGCCATGGGCGCTCTTCCGAATGGATCCATGACGTGGTTTCCGCTCCACGCGCGGGCTCACCGAGCAAAATCCACCGAACTCGTCCCGAGGGACTCGCAGAGGTCTACCGCTGTTGCTTAGATAGGGTACACGGGCGCAACAACACCTGGGCCGAAGTATCTCAAAAACGCACTCCCAGCTGCATCTTCCGCCACTTCAGACTCCCATCCCATGCATCCACCGATACTCACACCTCGAGTGGATGCCCGCGCACCTCCGTATATACGAAACCCTCACCCAGACGCACGCGCTGCGCGCAAAAACCGCCTTTGGGACCGTCGTTTCCGGAGCCTGGTACGGCGGCACCTGAAGATCGATCAATGTGGGCTCCATCAAGGGCATCTCTTGTTCCTGGCGGAAGGCGGGGCCACCGGACGCGATCCGAAGAGCGGTGGGAACCGCCTGCTTTTGGCGGGTCCTTGGGCCACCATGACTGGAACGTTTGGGGCGGCTCGGGAAGGTCATCGCCGCTTTGCAAGGCAGGAAGAACGACCAACGTCCAGAACATCACCCCGGAAAGCCAAGGCTGGCTGGACACCCATACACCTGCACAGGCTGGTTTGCAAACCAACGGCAGGCACGCCCAACTTACCCGGCTCATCTGCGCCATGCTCGTCAATAAGAAACCCAGTCCAACTGTTTGGGTCATGTAGAAACCCAGTCCTGAAGCACACAAAGCTTGGAAAGTTGAATCCCACGACATCAGGGTCATCTACCAGCTGCTTAGCTGCTTGGGGTGACCGGAGTATGGTGCTCAGAAAATGGAAAAGGCTGGATGTCGTGCAACCTGGCACCGAGTAGTTTCAGGCACCAGGTCAGTGCAAGGGAATGGTTGTATACTGCTAATGCTGTTCAATTATATAACTATAATATAGCTCCTGACACTTTTACTACAGCACTCCCGTAGCAAAATTAAGCTTGAACTGAACGCCGCAATGTGCAGAGGGCTGAAACTAGCCACTGAAAGCTACTTCGCAAAGTCTCGCCTCAGGCCCGGCGGCGGACACGACGTCGGCGTAGAGGGCGCCCACCTGCAGCAGACCCCAGATAGCCACTACACAGCTCTAAAAGCAAAAGCACCCGAGATAAGAAAAATCCAGTGCTGACATTCAGTCACAAGCTACACCAGCAAAACCTATTTGTGGACAGTGTCCAGGCAGCGGCACCCTGCAGCGGCATCGCCAACTGCTAGCAGCGGCACCTGCAGTGGCACCAGCACGCAGCCTCCAATGCGCACACTGCCATAGACATCTAGCAGTGGCACCCCACAGCAGTCAACATCCGGCAGCAGCACCCTGCAGCAACCAGCACTCAAGCACCAAAGCGCACACTGCCATCAACATCTAGCAGCAGCACCCTGCAGCGGCACCAGCACCCAAGCTCCAAAGCGCACACAAGCACCTCTTCCTATGCTTGAAGTAAGAACCCCGATAGCTCTCGGCACCGCCAGGCTCCGCCAGGCTCGCGCCACCCCATCCGAGATGGCGCTCAGGCTCGCCGCAGGAGGCGACCAGGCTCGCGCCGCGTCGCCGTGGCCGCCTGCGCTTGCAGTTGTAAGCAGAAGTCCACCGACGCCGACGGCTCCTCGCACTCGGGGGTCGCCGCGGCCGCGGCCTGGGAGCAGCCCCGCAGCGAGCTAAGGCGAACGAACGGAAGGAGCTGAGCTGGTGCGGTGCAAAGCGGGTGAAAAGAGAGGTAAAGAAAGGGAATTCAGCACTGGATTCAGCCACAGGGAAAAGAAACATCACCTGAAATGAAAGATAGTGAATGAAAATATACCTGGAAAAAAGTGGGCCAAGATTTGTAGAAAATAGAATATGTCCTGTCCCTTTCGTCCTTAGGTGCCAAGGAAAAAGACAACCGTAAAGATGAAAGAAAGAATGAACATCTGTTGTCTGTCTCTTTCCTTTGGGCACAGCGTTAAACCTTGGTGAATTATTGTTATTGCATGTTTCAACCTTGAGTTTCTAGTAGCAATAAAATTCATGACCTATCTTCTCTGGCATCCAAGAAGACCCAGCACTAGTCATGGATGATAGTGATAGTAGTGATAGTGACCCAGCACTATCATCGGAATCCGATCGGCAACAAGTCTTCTCTGGAACTTTTGTTTTAGTGAGTGGTAGTGGTTTCTGATGTTCTTTCATAGTCTTTCAGCAAAATCAACGAACCCATTCACGCCACTTAAATCAGAAGCTTGCCAAAGGAGCCAAGAGGCAGACAACAACATTGAGGTAAACCAACAACATCCAATAACTTATGAAACCCCTGTCCCCGGCCCCACCCCCTCCATCCCCCCAGCTTTCGTTGGGCATCCCCGGCGGCCGCCGAGGCTAGCGCGGCCTTGGCCGCCTCTGCCTGAGGCCCCGCCCGCGCTTTGGAGCGCCCGCGGCTGGCGGCCGCCGAGGCCGCCGCCACAGCGGCAGCCGCCGCCGCCTCCACCAGCGACGGCAGGGCGTGTTTGATGCTTTGGGACTGGAAGGAACGGCGGTCGGGTTTGCACCAAAAACACCTTGGAGGCCCGAACCATGAGTCGTGTTGAGGTATGCTTCCTGTTTGGGGAACTCCCACCCGAATCACACCAAAGACGCCCCACCCATCCACGTGTTCCATCTCCACCCGACTCACCCAAGCTTGGCAAGAGAGTATTCCAAAGATTCTACAAACATCTTTCAACCATGGACCAAGTTCACCTCAGCTTTCCCATCTTTCACCTCAGATGTCTGATGGACCATGGACCTCAATGTCCCCCTTTCCAAAGCTCTGTGCGGGCCTCGGACCCTCGCGAACCTCGCGCCGCGAACCTCGCGCGGGACCTCGCGGAGCGAACCTGCTCGGCCGGGCTGCTGGTCTCCACGCCGATGGAGGTGCCCATCTCCACGCGCGCGTCCGCCGTGAAGGCCTGGAGCGATGGATGGGGCCGAAGTCCCATGAACAGAGATGTTAGGGGAAACAGGACCCACTGGAGTTGGGTGGTGAATGGACACCCCGAATTCACAGCTTTTTTGGGGCTATCAAGAACGAAGCCCCTTAATTAGGTTGTCCTGGTACACATCAACTCAGCTTTGGCCTTGATCTTCGCCCCCCCCTTCCTTCCTCCACCTTCCTCCGTGCCCCCAAACCCCCGCGCCCATCCACCGCCGATGGGCCGTTCCGTGTCCGCGCCGCCGAAGCGGCCACCCGCCTCGACGACCAGCACGCAACCCTCCGGCTCCTCGGGCGAGGCTAAGAAGCCCAAGCGCAAGACCGGCAGGCTCACCTGGCGGTGAGAACGCACCCCCCCCCCGTTGGCGGAGGAAGGCCTTCCTCCCGGGGATGAGTTCCGAACGAGAAAGCTCCCCTATGTGTCCCTATGTGGGAGCTTAGATGGAAAGAGGAGACCCGCGGAGCTTGTCCCCTCGGCAAAGCAGCCCAATCTGAGTATAGATTGAGGATGACTGAGGATTGCAAAACAAGGAGAACCCCAAAACCAAAAATGTAGACATGGATAAAGGAAGAAAAAGAAAGTCAAACCGCCCGATACATTCATTGATCTGGAATCCTCAGGTTCCCCGCCCACCCCGCACCCGTCCCCCGAGCGCCTTGAGATGTCCCTTCCACGGATAGGGCGACACCACCGGCTTCACCGTGGAGCCTCGGCCCACCTCGGCCCGGCGGTGTCGAGCGGGGCATGGGTGGCGCAGCAGCTCCCAAACAGGGCGAAAAAAGCCGGTTCTTGGACCCTTCGATTCTGAGACTCTTTTTTGGCCAGATATGCCACCTACAGATCGTTCACCTCTTGGGATGCTGTCGTGGAAAAGGTATGAAAAGGTCGTCGTTCACCTCCAAGCGACCAAGTTCTGTTTCACTTGGGTCGTAGGTTTCGGATGGTTTCGGTAGACACCCGGTCCGGTACTCCCCCACGTTTGCAGGCTTCACTTTGTGAACGAAGGGCTGCAGGCTTCACTTCGGCCGGCGTCATCCGAGAGCACAGCTGCTCCTGGCGCGCGGAGTCGGTGGAGCGGTTGGGGACCTGAGGGATTTGGAGCACCGGGTGGAGCGAACATGGACATGGACCACAACTCCTTCACCTCTGATCTCAATCGGTCCACCTGGTTGGATGTCTAGTAGTTGTCCAGGCAAAGCCAGATTTCATCTTCAGGTTCCTGGGGTGTGCCACCCTGAGCCCCCCCGGCGATGTTCCCTTGCAAGACCATGGCCGCCCGCACGTGGCTCGGCTGAAGCGTCACCTGGACGACATCACAACCGATGTTCCCGTGGCGTCGCAAGAACAGACGAGAACCTTCTTGGGTGACTTCGACGGAACCGATCCCCAAAACCGACGAGCTCCTCGGCGGTGGATCGGGAGGTGGAGGCAGGGGATGTCCCGTTTTTTTTTGTGCGGAACGGTTCACGCTGTTCACGCTCATCCATGTTCCGCTCCAAGACACGTAGGAGTCCTGTAAAATTGGGAACATGTCGCCAACTCTTATACAATCTTTTGGCATCATAGGCCCGTGTGGCCATGTGTGGCCGGAATCGTTGCTGGTTCGGACGAGGTCAGTGGGTCAACGACCCGTCTAAGAGGGGCTAACCTCGAACGCAAACAGAGGCAAACCGTCCAATCATCTAAATCAATATGCCAGTGTGCGAACCTTCTTTCATTCAACAGTACAAGTATGTACAAGTACAGGTCTTTTCAGGTCTACTCAGAGTGGACTGGCAAACATCTTCTGGTAGCTGATGCTGTTCATTGGCATAGCGGCATACCTCTCAAAAAGTGTTGGAGATTAATCTTCATCATCAATCTGAGGTCCTTGTTCCCTTCACACCAACTCCCTCCCGCCCCGGACCCAGCCCCCCCACCCTCATGGGCTCCAGAAGCACGTGCAAACCGTAGAAGTCCGCGTTCCTGGAGGAGTCCCACCCCGTGGAGACTGGCCTCTCCACTTGTGTAGGAGACAGCTGTGGAGCACCACCCATTCCAAGCTTCACCCCCCCCCAAAACACAGGTCAAGCACGGATGGGCATCTGCTTGGAAGGTGCAGGACGGGATGGGACTGGAGAACCGACCCGGCACCCGGGTCCTACCTGTGGGGAGGAGGCAGGAAGTGGTGGCGGATTTCTCGAACTGGAAGGTTGCCCCACAGAAGGACTAGACACTGGTCAGTGATGGTCAGTGAACATGAAGGGTCTCGAAACCCCTCAAAAAAAATATCAGAAGCTCACGAAGCTCTGCTCGGACGGATTCTGCTCCCCCAACCTGAGCCACGACGACGACAAAAACCTCGAGGGCCCCAAAAACTTCAACCCGAAACGAATCCCCAGAAAGGAACCACCGACCGCCACTCTCCGGTTCGGGGTGTCCAGTGTCCACCAGTGTCCACCATCTATACCGTATACCCGTGTCCAGTGTCCACCATCTATACCAGGTCTCCGAGATGGTTTCAATTGGTGACCTGTGAAGTCGGGTGCTGGTCTATAGACATCCAAATATGTAGACGTGTGACTCCCAGCACTCGCACGAGCGCGAGCACTCGTGAGGACCCGATGATTGACCGCTTCTTGTTCAGTTCATATCCCCTTCCATCCGCCGTTTCTCGGGGCGCAGCAGTGGACACATCGAACGGACGATCTGACCGGTGGCCCATCCACGTTCCTCAGCCCCTCGCTCGAAGCTCCCAGAGCACAAGAGAGAGAGAGAGAGAGACCCCAAACCACCCACCGCACAGGATCCGCCTCTGCCGGGTCTCTTCCTTCACCTCCAGTCACTCCGGGAAAACTCCGGGAGAGACGCGGCGGGGACCCAGCGACCCCAGCGCTCTTCAGCCATGGGAGGAACGCGTCTTTGGCAGACAAATGCGACAGAGTGGCGGGGAAAAAGCAGTCGGAACTTGTTGGTTGATCCTTTTTGTATATGTGAAAAAAGGTGAAAACAAACAGGTGTGGATGAAAAATCCCAAGTGTCACCGGTCCCTTCAGCGGTCGGTCTGAACAAGGCGGCAAGGCGGCTGCGCCCTTGGACGTCGCCTTCATGGTCATGGTGAGCTGGAGGCGCATGCGGTGAAGGACGGCGCCTCCCAAACAACCACCACCGACGCCGCGAATCGCGGGGCGTTGGTGGGACTGAGTAGATAGGGATGCAGAGACATCAAAAGCACCCGGGATCATCATGGCTGCGCCTCTCAAAATTGACCGATCCTTCACTCGCCAGGCCCCGAAAAAACACGACCAGGTGATGTCATGTGGCACCACACTCGTGGTGGTCGCGTGGTGACCGGAACGACCCGAATCGGAACAACGACCCGGGTGCTCGTTCCACGCGGTGAACGTCTCGTGGGTTCCACCGGTCTGTCTGTCTCCACGCTCGGACCAGGCCCCCGGGCTGGAGCCACTCCTGACCCAAAGGTCGAGTGGTGTGGCAACAAAAAAAAACTCCTAAAGTCGGAAAAGTCCGGCGGCCACTGGACCCTGACATCTATCCAATGAGCCCTATAGATCACTTCATGTTGAAGACTGAAGCAATAAGCTTTGAATCCTTGGAAACAAAACCACCATGGATGGACAAACAATGGCTACCACGGGTCTTTTTCACACTCCAACTCCCACGGAGATGAAGGTGAACGAAGCTGCATGCCAGTGAATATTCCGCAACAGTACCATGTCGTAGTACCACTTACTTACTCCGCGTATAAGAATATTCGTATACACCCTATCAAGGGTGTGCTCTCAAAGCTGGTCTGTCCGCAACATCCGCATGCTCGCTCAGGTTCCATTTTCATGTGGCTTTCGCAGGTGCAGCTGCAGCTCCTGCGGTTCGCCAGTCTCACTTTCGCTTCGCTTTTGCTCCTCTGCTCCTCTTCAATCCGGTCCGCCACTTTGGGCGCGGCGCCGCGCCGGGAACCTTTGCCCCTGACTGACGCGTCTCATCCGATGTCCAGCTGTCCGTCCTGAGGGATGACCAGAACACAAGACCACAAAGAACGAACGAGCTGCGTCGACGAGACGCGAACGATCTGCACTGAGCTGAAGACCTGTGGAACCTATATAGAGTCTATATAGAGATAACCTATCTGTCTACCCCATGTGAAAGATAAAGCTTCAAGTCGTTCCCAGCACGGATTTCTTCTGGTTCGGGGCTGCTCAACACGTGAGGTGTGACACCTCAACTTTGGGCAAGGTGAGCAGGTGCTGCTGAAAAAGTGATAGGAACCAAGAGGGTCAAAAGGGACGCAGAAGGATGCAAATGCAGAGAGATGTGTTTTCCTGCTGCCCATAGACCCATAGACCATGGATAGAACATCGAGGTCCTTCCTCCTTCCCTTCGTCTTCGTTGTGCCCCACCGTTCTCCTCGGACGCGTCAACGCCCGAGGCGTCAGCAGCCACTCCTCAACGTTCCTCGTCCCAACTCCCCACACGGCTGCGCCCCTCGGTGAGACGCCGCACCTGGGACGGAACGGGACGGGTCCACGCCACGGGTCCCGGACGTCGCGTACCAAACCCAGAGAGGTGAAGTCAGGATGAAACCCCTATCATGAGCATGGTCTTTCCGAAAAGATCAGAGGTGTCGGAGTCTTAAGATAGGCATGGTGTAGAAATGTTCAAAGAGGTTCCAGGTTCCGAATCTCCTTTGGGTGCACCAGCTTGTGCGACCGTCTACGAGCAGTGGATTGAGCAAAAGAAGATCCCTTGTGGGGGAGCGCATCAAATACTGAATGCAAGAGCCACTCTTCAGATTCAATCTTGAACTTCCGGCCACACCAAATTGTCACTTTATTTTCACCACAAGATGTCCTGATCATTGAGCCTTGTTCGCACCCCACTGCTGAGCTTCGCACCACCTGAAATGCCTCGCCACTCGCGACGCTAACACTACCGCTACCGCTGCCGCTCACCGCGCGGGCCGCACCGCCGCCCGGAGCACTGCTGGAGCTGTCATCGTCGCCCAAGTCACGGCGGTGCCTGGACCAAAGGATTCCTAACCCTAGGGCTCCAAGTACCTTTTCGGAAGTTATTTGGACCCTCTAAACCAACCCCAAACACCTCACAAGGTACTTGGAGCCCTAGGGTAAGGATTCTGAGCAAAACTTAGGTTGACAATGCCACAAATCTGTGATTCCTGGCGAAACTTGGCGTTCCTCTGGGCATTCGGCGTTTGGCGCCTCAGCAACTGGTTGATCTCTTTCAAGGAGGGCATCACCTGGCGGAAAGTGGCGCAGGGTCACTTTCCATACTATGATCCTCCACTTGTGCAAATTGCCAATTGTCTTTTTAAAAAAATAGATGCTCAAGGTGCAAGAGGTGGACAGAGTGACAAGTGGTAGAAGCGGTCGGACAAACCAAGTGGTCATGGAAGCCCAAATGAGTCTGGGTTGACCCCCAAAATCAGTTCAAAAAAAAGGGACTTGCGTGATTGCGTGGTTCTAGATGCTTCTAGGAGTCGATAGCGTCGACGTCCCCCTCCCTCAGTGGTTCGGAGCCTTCTCTTTGAAGAGGCCGCCACCAGCCTTCATCACAAGCCTCATCCACCTGGAGCGTGCTTCGAATGCAGGGTCTGACAGTCTCAGATGCTTCATGCTGAGTGGTAGGGGAGCTGGACTTCATGTCCTATAAATACTAGTTATTGTTAGAACCAGGCGAAGATGTTGCAAAACAATCCTCCTTGCAGACTTCTTGCAGTTCTAGCTTGGTCTTTGCAATTTCGTGTACTTGATCTCTCACCATTCACACCCACATCCACTTTGTCAGCTCAGTCATCTCCCACCTTCTGCGCAAGTTCTCACCCACCTACCATTCTTATATGGCCCGGTGTTCGCCGGCTTCGCACCCAAAAACCAAAGGCACCACACTTGAAAAATAACCCCACACATTTGAATTGAAAAACCTCTTTGTCACATGCGGGGGTTCTTAATCAAGAGTCTGCTGGGGGCGCGGGCGGGTCCCTGGGTGGGGCGCTGCTCCGCAACCGTCGCCTGAGATCTTCCACGGTGGGCCAATCCTCGGCGTCCTCCATGGCGCGTGCCTCCATGGACTCCTGGCAAACCCGGAGGGGTGCGAAGCCGCGGGTTTGGACTCATGGCAGGCGTGATGAGGTTTTGAGGCATGGTCGAACACCCCAACAAGCTTCAGTTGGCCAGTCCACACATCAACATCCTGGGGTGCGTAGCGTTCTTGCTCCTAGTAGTACGGCCAGGAGCCCCTAGTAGCGTTCTTGCTCCTAGTAGCGATGCCCTTTGCTCC